CCCAACACTGTGAACCCCCCACGCGGGGATGGCAGAGCCCACAGGAACGGTTCCCTCCACTTGGGAGGCTGTGTGTGTCTCCTGAGCCGCACAAGCTGCCCACAGCAAAAGCAACCCTTTGTGGCATGTGTGTGGAGGGGGAGGCGGACAGCAGAACCAAAGTGGTCAACTGGGGACACTGACCACTAGCTGAGACCGAGAATCTGTCCAGCCCCTGGGGCTCCCGAGTCCACATGGCCGTGTGCATAACTTGAAAACGCCCATCGCTCTGTGTTTGCAAATCACTGGTCGCCCGGATATAAATCCCATCTCCCCCTCTTGCCTCCCGCTTTCTGTTTCTCGATTTAAAAGGGCTACCCACAAGTCCCTGCTCTCCCCCTTCCCAAATCCGAAAGGGGTTTTGTTTTCGGATTGCTGGGTTGAATTTTTTTTTTAAGTTGGAGGGGAAACAGGAAGTAGGTGGGCCATCCCCTCTGCCTGACAAAACACCCTTCTGCCTCAGGGTGGCCAGGGCTGGCTCCTTTTGTTTTTTGGCAGTTGGGTGTGTGAGGGAGGGACACAGAGCACCCCCCCATCCCCCCACCCTGCTGCCACCTGTTAAGAAAAACACAACAGCAGAGATGCTTCTTCCTTGGCCCACCCTGCCCCCTGCCACCAAGGTCAGCCCAAACCCATTTCACTTTGTCACTGCGGGAGCCCACGTGGGACAATTGGCTTTGGATTCATGCCAAGCAATGTGTGGGGTGGCAGGGAGCGGGCAGGAAGGGGTCAGGGGGACGGGCCGCTACAGATCAGAGTTCAGGGGCAGCGGCGGCCGCAGGGCGCCTAGCAGGACACCTCCATGGACTTGGGCCCAGCGCTGTTGCCGGTGGTGCCGGAGTTGGGGGTGACGTCCAGGCGGGCGCCCTCGCTGGTGTGGGCTCGGCTGCGTGAGCCCTCGCTGGTGTGGGCTCGGCTTCGGGCACCCTCCTGGGAGGTGACACTGGACCCCGAGGCTGTGCGGGACCGCATCAGGCGGGTCATGCTGGCAGAAGGCACTAGGGGAGAGAAGCAAGCGCCCAGTGAGGGGACAGGGGACAGGTCCGGAGGTGCCAGCTGGCCTGCACCTCGAGGCTCCAGAGCCCATGTGGAGCCGGACCCCGGCAGGCTGATACACAGGGATGAGCCGTTGGGCTCCCTCCTGTCCTGGCCTCGGCTCAGAGTGGGGGAAGCTAGGCTCGGACAGGGTCAAGGACTCCAACTCAGCTCCATCACAGGCTTAACCCAGTCAATTCCCATTAATACTTAATGATCTCCTACAAGGTCAGAGCTGTGAAAACCTCGGGCAGCTGCCTCATTCTGCATCCATGGGGTGTCCTCCAGGCCCAGCCAGCCTGATGGTAACTGACCACAGCATGGTGTTCTAGGTCAAGTTGCTGCAAACACTGGATTAGCGAATACTGAGCTAGAATACTGAGCTACGGGGCCAGGTGCCTACAAGCCTCTGGTCACAACTCTCATCAACCTTGTGGCACAGAGCCTCCTTCCTGTGTGTTTCTGCTTTGAGAGACCCCCTTCCTTGTCATACACTCTGGGGCCTTTAACACCAAACTCCCGGCTAACAGCGGCTCATGCCCAAACAGAGCCGACCTGCTGTTCACGCCGGGAGACCTCGGAGATGCCTTTGGCTTTCCAGGGCATAAAGTTAGCCTTGGACTGTCGTCTATCAAAGGAGCCCTGGTGGCGCAGTGGGTTAGGTATTGAGCTGCTAACCACAGGTGGGTGGTTCAAACTCACTGGCTTGTCCTGCTATGGCCCCTCACCCCCCATCACCTGCGGGGTGCTCTAGATTTCTGGAAAGGGCGCCCCTATTTTAGGGGCAAAAACACAAGGCCTGGCTTTCACTTCCTCCGTGCCCAGAACACAGAAACCTCAAATAGAGGTGACCAAGAGAGAAGCCCGCAGTGCAAGCCTCCGGGTTAGGCTAGCGTGGCTGGCCAGCTGGGCTTGCTGCAGCTCCTGCCCTGGCCCGCCCAACGGCCCAATGGGAGTGTGCTAGACCAGGGGCAGGTCCTGGGGTAGTGCTCTGTTGGAAGGGGGCACCTTGGGACAAGGGTTCCTGCTTGGGGCGAGGAAAGCGGGCCCATCCAGCCTCCTGAGAAGGAGCCATGGCCGAGGGCAAGCTGAAGACAGTGTTTGGTTACTATTTAAAACAACACCAACTGAGAGAAAGCAAACAGCACGGGTCTTCCAAGCCTTTGGTGAAGCCGGGGCACAGTGATGAGAACTCCCAGCCACTAGGAGGTTGAAGTCAAAGGGAGAGGCGGTAATTGGACTCAGCCTGGACTGTGACTGCTTCTCAACGCTGACCTTGTAGTTCGCAGCCCACGGCATAAACCACTATGCCACCAGGGCTCCTTTTCTGCTCAGCAGTGGAGGATAAAGGGGCCACAACAGCTCAAAAGAAAGCCTTGAAGCTCTACACCGACAAGGTGCAGCCCCTGCCTGGCCCAGTGTGCAAAAACCTGAAGCTGGCCAAGGTGCCCACAAGGGTACATCCCAGTCACCTGCCCCCGGACCTGCCCCTCGAGCCCCTGCTCGCTGGCCGAGGTGTACTTACTGTAGCCCATGCCCTGCACGAAGTATTTGAAAGCCTCAGCAAGCTTGGCCGGCTGCAAGAGAAGAGAGAGCGAGCTCCTGAGTGTCCAGGCGCCCAGAGCACTAAGACCACGTGGCCACCAGCAGCCGAGAGCTGGGCCCTAGGTAGTCCATGCACAACCGACTGCTGTCACTATAGGAAGGGACTCAGAGCAGAAACTGAGGCCACCTTGTCCTGACACACGAGGGCTGCCTCATGGCCATTCCACTTTTTCTCCAGGCCCCCAGTGAACTTCAGAAGGAATCTGGCCACTGGTGGGCTCACACCTCTAAACCAAGCCCTGCTTTCTGCAGAGCCCAGAACTCAGAGGGCCCCAGTTCCAGGGATGGCTGCCCACCCCTTCCTCCCGCCACGGGGATTTATCAGATATGGGGAAGAGGCATGTGCACCCCTCCCCCCATGGCCTCAATTCTGATCCCTGAAGAAATCGTGGGATTTGAGAATGTTGGAGGCCCCTTTCGGGACTGTTAGACCCACAGAGAGGCAGGGGAGGTTTTGATGGAAAGACCACAAAAATTAACATCACATTACACTTTAAAAGAGATTTCTAATGAGCTATAAACCTAAAGTGGTGTGCTGCTGGGCTGCAGGGAGGGAAGGCTCTGTGATCATGCAGCAAACCCAGAACAGGCAGTGTGTGTTCACACACACACACACACACACACACACACACACGCACACGCAGACACAGACACACACACACATGCAGACAGACACACACACGCAGACAGACACACACACAGACACACCCACACACACACACACACACACACACACACACACACACACACACACACGCTCTTTTCCGTCTTCCTCTCTGCTTTGGCCTCAGCTCCCTGGGGGCCTGTGGCTCCACTGGAAGTCTGGACTGGGGCAGACAGGGACTGGCAGAGTGAGCGTGGCCTTGGGATCCACTGCTGCCACGTGACAAGTGCCTGGCCAGAGGCTTCTGGCAGCACCGACGCTGGGGGCTCACGTCAGTCCTCCTGGGCAAACAGCTTTTACAAACAGCAAGCTCCCTGCAGACTGTTGCCGAGAGGTGAATCCCAACCAGAGAGGACTTCTGCCCCCCTGCCCGATGCTCCCCCAGGGCTCCTGGAGGCGGGAAGGAAGGTGGACTCACCTGGGAGACCTGAGGGAGGCCACCACAGTCCGCCATCTAGAGGAGAAGGAGCTGGTCAGTACAGATGCCCACAGAGGGGGACAGGGATGAGGCCCTGCCTGCCCTCTGATGTATCCTGCTGAGGCATGTGGGAGGGGTATAGTCCAGGGGAACCCCCAGCCATCCTGGTGAGGCTGGGGCTTCGGCTACCATGAGCTTGGGCAGGTACCCGCCTGCATCTTGCTAGCAGCCCTCCCTTTCTCCTCCTTAGAGGCAGAACGTGGGCCGAAGAGAGGCGAGGGACTGGCCCGATCCAGCCAGGGTCTTCCTGAGCCAGCCACAGGCACGAGATTCTCTCTAAAGGAAACTGCGGGATGGGAACCAGGCTCTGGGCCGACTGGACTTTCTCAGCAGACTTTCCAACTGTCAACGTCACCAGGAAATCACTGAGCCCAGAGCCACCTCCACGTCATTCAAGCTGTTTCACGGCAGTGTGACTCTACCCAGGGACAGAAAATGGGGGCAGTCAGGGCAGAGATGGAGCTGAGGACTCAGGGCTGGAGGGATTCGGTCGGAGGGCGGGGGTGGGGGAGGGATGATTCCGTGAGGGGGTGGTGAAGGATGGGTCCCACGCAACCTGTCTTCTTGAATTGCCCGATTCACAAGAAACAGCTTACAAACAAAGAGGTGTGTGGAAAACGGAATGAAACGGGGGCTTTTCCACACAGCTTTTGAACCCCCCTGCAATCATTCAGTTCAATGAAAGGAGGTCGTAGCCCAACAACTGGTGTCCTCATGAAACCCAATTCATGACCCACCCAAGTCGATTCTGACTCAGGGCGACCCTATAGAACAGGGTAGAACTGGCCCCTACTGCGGGCGTCTGAGATGACACATTTTTACAGATGCACAAAGCCACATCTGTCTCCCACGGAGCTGGTGGGCTTCTAGCCCACCGAATTCGAGATTTGCAGCCCTGCACTTAACCTGCTATGCCACCAGGGAGGGGCGTTGGCGTCTTGGGAAGAGAGGGTCATTTAGACGCAGGGAAAGAGTCATGGGGGCAGCTGAGTTTTCTCTGGTCTTTTATAGGTGCTAGAGCCGGTGGGAACTCCCGTGAATTTAGTAGGATTGCTCCCTGTGGGAGATTCTTGGGGACCCAGAGAGGGTCATCCTGGTGGCCTCAGATGACCGGCCAGTCTGTGATCAACTGTGGTGCTCACCACCACCAGCTCTGCCTCCACTGGGGGCCCTCAGTTCTGCAGGAAACCCCGGGGCTTTGTAAGACAGAAAAGTATAACCCGTTGGCTGCCTCCCCGGCCCCCACCATACCTTAAGGAGGGTGGTCTTTGTGGGGTCCAGTTTAGAGTTGCACTCCACCTGTACAAGGGAAGGGAGAGACAAGGTCCTCACCTGCTACCCAGAGCCAAAGTCCCAGCCTCGCCCCTCCCGGTCCCTCTTCCACCGTGGTTAAAAACCCCAGGGTTGCTACTGGGGTGGGGCCGAGTTGAGTGGAAATTGCAGCTCTGTGCTGCTCGACCAATGGCTGAATAGAGCCTCAGTTCCCTTGCAAACAAAAGGAGATGCCATCTTTCTCAAGAGTTGCCGTAAAGAGTGGCTGAGATCCAGCAGGTGCTCTCTACCTGGTGGGCCTTGTTTAACCTTCTGCCTCTCTGCCAGCTCTCAGATTCCAAAGGTCCAATCCCCCAAATTCCAGACACTCGTCCTCTGAGGAGGCCACACTCAGCCCTGCTGCCTTTTCCATCAATGGTTCCCTTCATCGTGCCATCCAGAGCAGGAAAGAACCCTTGCCCATAAGCTGCAAAGTGCCTAAGAGGGAAACCATCACCTCCCTTGTTGTGGGTGATGTATCTTTATTGATTCATTCCATGACTATGTCCACTGGGTTTAGCCCTCAGGAAACACCCAGGGTTCACTGTGATGGGCATGCCTTTCCCTTGTGAACCCCTGTGAACCTCCCCACTCTACACAGGGCATGCCACCACTGGGGAACTCAGATCAATACCCCAAGTCTCCTGCCTCTCCAGCTGGGGGCAGGGGGCTGGCTTCAGAAGGGTAGCACCCTCCACAATACCACAGGCGGGGAATCTGACCCAGAGCACCTCACCTGAGCCCTACTCCTGGGTGCCTCTGCCCCGTCAGGGTGCCAGGCACCAGCTGCATCTGAAAGCCCCAGCCGATCCCCACAGAGGATGACAACCTGTTGGCCTGGAAGCCAGGAGGCAAACTCGGCCGTATAAACAAGGCAGCAAGGAGCAGATGGGCATGAGGGGCCCAGAGCAGAGACAGCAGCCTGTTACCAGGCAACCTGGGCCACCTGTCACCAGGGGAAGAAGCCAGTGGCTGGGCGCTCTGCTCAAAGGCCGGCATGGACATCACTTTAAGTCAGGGACTCCACAGTGAAGGCTCCTCCTTCCAGGCCCCCGGGGACGGGCTGAGCTTAGAGGCTGTGATCCCAGAGGCAGGGGTTCTGTCCCCCATATCATTCAGAACAGTGACTAGAGCCCCAGGGGGTCCCATCTGCCCAAATACACAACTGTGGTGGGGCAGAAGGACAGGGCGTGTGGGGGAGAGGGGAGCCCCATGCAGAGGGGGCGGTGAGAGTAGAAGGTTGTCACGTGGCGGGGATGGCAGTCCAGGTGAGGACACAAGATGCATGTTCACTGTTGAAGACCAAAGCGCGTGGGACACTCACCCAGACCACAATGAAAACGCTCACATGTGTTTAAACAGGCAGCATTGCCTAGAGGCCTTGGAAAGCCGCCTCCACAGACTACCAGTCCCCAGCCAGGTGCTGGCCGGTCCACCTGGGGTTCCTGCCAACAGACTGTGAACCCGCAGCATGACCTGTCCCCCTCCTGCCCCGGGAATGGGGGAGGCCAATCTGGAGCACTGAAGAGGGAAGGGGCAGCCATGAGAGAGGGAGGCCACTCAGGGACAGAGCCCGAGGCTGGGGACCAACAGGCAGGCCTCCAGTGCACCCGAGCCTCTGATTCCCCATCCATCACACCGGTCACTCCACTGGTCTAGGGCATCTACCACACACACGTCAGCTGGAGGACGCAGACCACAAGCCGGTCCCTCTTTCTTCTGTTACCTGTCTAATCCCTCCCTGGGCCCTCAGATGTAAGGGGGACTGGATTTCAGAACAGAAATCAGAGGGCCAAAGAGACTGGTGGGAGGTGGGGGTGGGGGTCTTGGCTGTGGTCACTCCAGTTGCCAAGCCACAGGCAGAGTGGAGACAGTATGAGACTCCAAACCCCACAGGCCCTCCCTGCTCCAAACACTGGACCCGCCTGTCCCACTGTGGCCTCCTTCCTTCCACCCCCAGACAACCCCTGCCATCGAGCCTGTTCCTGCTCACAGCAACCGCCTAGGACAGAGAGCCGCTCCTGTGGGTTCCCAAGCCTGCGAGTCTCTACGGGAGCAGATGGCCGACTCTTCCCCTCTCAGAGAGACTGGCGGATCCAAACTGCCAGTCTTGAGGCTGGCAGCCCAACTTGTAACCCACTACACCACTGGGACTCCCTGGCCTTCCCCCAGCCTCCCTCTTCTTAGTGGGCAGTCCCTTCTCTGCTCTTTTGGGCTCTTCCGGACAGTGAGTCTGTGTCCTGCTCTCAGGCCTCTGGACCTTGTCGTCCTCAGGGGAGGGGAGAGACTGGACAGAAACATCCAAGGTGGAGGGGCTCTGAGCTGAACACTGGCCTGAACGGATGACTACGTACCACAGCATCCACGGCAGGAGAGTCGTCCCCAACCACCAGCAGAGCAGGGCACCTGGGCAGAGCAGGAAGGATGAAGGAGGGGGTGTGTCAATGTAGGGCTCACTGCAGGCTGCGAGCACCCCCCGCCCCAGGCCGGGGAGGAGCCAGAGCAGCTAATATTCTGGGTTCCGGTTTCCTCCTAGAGCCTTTTGCTTTGTATGTCACCCTTCCTCCACCCTCCGCTTTGCTCTTGGGGGATGAGATGGTGGGTAGTCATCAACACTTGAGTCTGAATTAAGCATGACTTTACCCGGACACTTTTTTCATTCTAAAGCCGCACTCTCTTGAGAAGGGGACTTTGATGGCAATCAAGATCGTACAACAAGAATGTTATAGCTTCCTGTAGGGAGGGCACAGGCAGAGGGTGCAAAGCCAAACACTGTGGCCCATACAAGTCAGTCCTTCCTGGAAGATTCACACATCCTTTTGCCCGTGACTGGCTTCTCCGGGCTGGTAGGGCACTTTGGGGTGGCTCCTGGGCCCCCCGAATCCCTGGGCTGTGATGCCAGGTCTGACATAGCTTAGAAGCTATATGAGTCGTGAGAGTAGAGCTTCCCAAGGGCACCAGGGAATTGGCGTCTCCGGTGTGGGAACAGACCGAGCAGATGGGTCGTGCCCAGCCCCTGGTAGGACACAGGAGCTCCTCACAGACGACAATCCTCCCCACACCCCACACCCAGGAAGGAAGCCTGAGAGCATGTGCAGCGGGCGGCCTGCAGGGGGGCGCAAAGCTACTCACTGCAGGGTGACGCTGTGAGCCCCAGGCGTGGGTCTCTCGATCTCCAGGTCCCGCCGGCTACATAAAGGAGACACGCCAATAGCATCAGCCCACCCTCCCCTGGAGGAAGCCCCCAGCCCCACCCAAGGCCCAGGGGACCTGCCACTGGCCATTGGCCAGCCACCCCCATTCTCCCCAAATTGGGGGAGGTCACGTGGTTATCTCCCGATGAGCCAGGCTCCTGGTGTCCTTAGAAGCAGCCCCGTTGTCCTCTAAATGGCCAGCCTCTTGCATGGTCTCCTGACCCCCAATCTCCGACCCTCCCCAGCCCCAAGTTCTCTATATCAGACCTCCTTGAGTTTTTTCTGCTTGAGACCCCTTTTTTGCCTGAAAAACTTGCCACCTGAATGGGCACTGAACCCTCTCGGATTAATTCTTGGTTGTGGCGCCTTTGGAAACCTTTGACTGCAGTCACGACCCACTGGTTCAGGCTTGCTCTGCGTAGCGGCCCACTCCACTTCTCTACAGCTCCGCCCTCAGGGGTCACTTCACTCTATGGTCTGAAACCTGCTCAGCGCCCCACGGTTCCAACTGTGTGGCCATGCCCAGCCCAGCATCCACCCAACCCTGCATGCAGGTCAGCTCTTGCCCAGCCCCTGGTCTGGAGCAGCGAGACTGGGTTTGTGAGCTGTACGACCTTGGGCAGAATGACAAACGTCTCTCTGTGCTTTGGCTTCCATGGACAGAGACAATGCTCCAGCGCCGTCCTGCCCAGAGGGGCATGGCAAGGCTCCCAGGGAGGCATATTTCCACGAGCCGGAGCCTGCAAGTGGTAGCTGATCTACTCTGCAGGTCTACTGCCCACTGCCAGCCCCCCTCTCTCACTTATCACCAACGCAACCGTCCAGTCGATGCCGACTCACGGTGACCCCACAGGGCAAGTGAAAATGCTCCTGTGAGTTTCCAAGGCTGTAGAACCTTAGGGCAGTGGACCTCATCTTTCTCCTGAGGATCAGCAGGTGGTTTCAAACTGCTGCCCTCGTGGTGAGCAGCCCAACACCTGACCGCCACGCCACCAGGGCCCCTCCTTCTGCTTCCCAGTATCTGATCTGAGTGCCGAGCTCTTTGCTGCGGACACACACACACACACACACACACACACACACACACACACACAGCTGCACTCGAACAACACACCATCACATGCACACACCACACACATACACCCCCAGATGATGAGCTCGGCTCCTTGGCACATGCTT